AGTGAGTAGGTTTTCTTTGTTATTAACCTATTTTAGCTTCCATTTCGAGTGAAAGTATTGAGTGAAGAGATTCGAGGGTCGGTTCCACCAGAAGACGACGGTGGATTCCTCTTGACTAGCTGTCGATTGGCTTTACTGCAAGATTCATGCTGACGCTGTTACCGAGGCAATCTCCTTAGATTCCGGTGAAAAGGTGCTAAGCTTTCGTCCGTCATATGACGGACATCATCAGAGCGAGGTAGCATCGTCACAAAAAAATTCGAGCTAACAGTCAAGAAACGACAACATTTATGAAACAAGAGATTCATCGAAACCCAACTTTTCTTCGCATATTTTAGCTTCAATTTTCCCATGATTCAACAGTTTTTAGTCGCTTTAAATTATATTAGTTAGGGAATTCGTTCATATAACCAGCATTCTTCTTTAAAAGGCTTTCATTCCAAGTTTTTTACAAACTATCTGAACTGAAACTTTTTTCCGATTTTCTTTTTCTAAATCGATTCTTATGTTTTAGCCATAGGGCGGTTCAAGGATCAATGGATCCTTCATGCTACTTTGTCTGGCCACCATACTGACACAATCTTTGAAATCTCCTGGTGTGTATTTTTTCTATCAATCCTTTTTGATAACTTACTTCATCAGCATCTTTCTTAGTATGATTCCCCTATTGTGTTTCATCCCTTATTTAGAGTGATTATATTTACTTTATTTTTAGGTCCTCTTGTGGCCGATTTTTGGCTAGTTGCAGTGCAGACAATTCTCTGAAGGTTTTTCTTATTCCCACAGACATTTCATTTTCCGGTGCACCAAAAAGTGTTCTTTGGGGTTGCATTTCAGCTGCACATGAAGGGGACATAAATAGTGTCTGCTGGAGGCCAAGATATTCGCCTAGGAATATTCTTACCTACGACAAGGATGCCCTTATGGTCGCTACTGCTGGTGATGACGGGAAAATCAAATTCTGGTCCGTCGTTACTTCGGGAGCTATTGAAGCATTTGCTACTTGATTATTCCTCGACTAATTTCCTACATCGATTATTAGATATTCTCCCATTATCTATTAAAAATACTTTCCAAATTTCCCCGTTTGGGATTGTATTGACGGTGCCCTTCTATATATTCTGGTCCAATTGACCTGCAAATTTATTGACTCCTTTAATGTGTTAGGGGGACTTTCAGTTCGTATAAAAGTGAATGAAAAAGAGATTCGTTGGTCGATCTCTCTATATGAAGACGAATGAATCTCGTTGTACTGCATCTATTTGGCTTTTATACGATATTCATTTTGATGCAGTCCACAAGACTTCCTCCCTCGTTTTGAGTTAAAACGTGCTGAGCTTTCGTCCATCATATGATGGACATCATCAGAGCTGGGTTTCATTCTTGTAAGT